CTCACTCTTAAAATATGTGACTATTTCTGGGATGCCTGGGTGGCTCAGTTGCTTAAGCATTTGCCTTTTGGCTCCAGTCAAAAGGCTCCAGTCAAAAGGACCATGATCCCATGGTTCTGGGATGGAGCCCCATGTTGGGCTCTCTGCTCAGCGGGGAGTCTGCTTCTCCATCTCCCTCTGCCTGTGCCTTCCCCTGCTTGTGCTTTCTCTCTCTCTTTCTCTGTTGAAAGAAAGAAAGAAAAAGAAAGAAAGAAGAGGAAAAGAAAAGAGGAAAGGAAAGGAAAGGAAAGGAAAGGAAAGGAAAGGAAAGGAAAGGAAGGGAAAGGAAAAAGAGAAAAGGTACAGTACATCCTTTCAGGTGGAAAAAAAGTTCTCACGCCCTTTCCCTTGACTTTTTTAGATCCATTAGTCCCAACAAGTAATTTCTGCTCTAAGATGTCAGGAAGCCCAGGCCTTATGGTACCATTTCCTCTCTCTAGATATTCAATACTGCCCAGTTGGTCATTACATTCACCGGCTGTCTCCCAAAGTCCTAGGCATTGGGGAAAAGACCCAGAGCCTACTCGAGCATTGATGGCAATCAAGCAGTCTGTTCCAAGACCTCCAGGTCCTCATGTCTAAGGTCAAACATGCCATTCTGGCCCTAAAAAGACCCCAGAGACAGTTTCTCCTCTTCGGTGGCAGGTTCAGGCCTGGCTGATGTGTGGTGGTATCAGAGGCCAAAAGCTGTTCTTACTTTGCTTCTAAAGGTACTTTTAGATGCCAGAGAAAGGAGGTTTTAACCTCTATAGCTTAGAACACAACATTCTAAAAACAGTTGAAAAGGCCTTGGAAAGTTCTCAGATGAAGTTAATTAAAACCTTCCCCTGTCCTAAGGGTCAATCCTGCTGTTTCAAGTTGTTATCCAGCTGAGTCTCTGGATACGCAAGTCTCCCAAGGACTGGTGGATTTAGTTTAGAAGCTATGCCATGTGGAAAGTGCCAACTGCTCCTGCAAGGGAAACATTTGTTTTCTGCCTTAAAATCTCTAGGCAAGAAGTGTAGGACAGTGCAAAAACATTTTTTAAAAATATTTTATTCATTTATTTGACAAAGAGAGAGAGGGGGAACACGAGCAAGAGGAGGCGCACACAGAGAGAAGCTGGCTCCCCGCTGAGCAAGGAACCCCATGTGGGGCTCCATCCCAGGACCCTGGGATCATGACTTGAGCCTAAGAAAGATGCTTAAACAACTGAGCCACCCAAGCGCCCCTCAAAAACATTTCTACTAGCAATCTTACTCTAGCTCATACTGCCAATTATCAGCCAAAGGAATCCTATCCCTCAAAAACAATCAGGAAGGAAAACTCTCTGATACACAGCATGGAGTACGATGCTCGCCATCGGAAGGGCTAGCTTTGTTCTGGGAAGAGGTGATGGCGTCAGTCTCTCTGTATAAGGTCAGTAAGCTCATATCACTGAAATGGAATAAGAGAGTTACCATAGCAGGAAGGCAGTGCCCTCACTTGCTCTCAGGCTACACTAAGAGATTTCTTAGTACAAGGAACTGAGCCTAGCCCTGGCTTGGCCACACACAGCTGGGAGGCATTTCAGGAAAAAGGGAGCCATTGTCCCCAACAGGATGCACACTTCGCCAGTGTGTCTATTCATCAGCCCAGCACAGGTTGGCTTTGCTGCCTATGGATCAACAAAGTCCTTCTCAACAAATGTCAAATGGCTTTGTGCTTTAAGATTCCCAAGAACAGATGTAGTTGAGGTAGCTAGTTGCAACTTAGGGGTTATTATGCCCAGTCTACTCTGTAAATAGTGACTGAGTGACTGACTTAAAAGAAACAATGCCATGTGCTACTGGAAAACCAATGTAAGACTCAGATCCTTGACCTTTAAGAGTTTGCCATCTAGTAGTGGGGGCCCTGGGAATGTCAGCCAGGGGCTCTGCCAATAGCCAGGGTCTCCTAAAGAGGGGAGATTCCCCCCCCCCCCCCCGCCCCGAGCGCTCTGCTCAGAGATAGCACCAAGCTGTTCTAACCCAGGAATGGCCACTATTAGGCTGGGGACAGGGGGTTAGGCCAAGGGCCACCTGCATAGGCTAGGCAGTGCCTCAGTGGGCCAGCATAGAAAGATGGGCTGAGCCAAACCTACAGGAAGAAGACCTAGGATCTGGGTGCACATGGAGGAGACAAAGGGCAGACATGGGTAGGAGCTGGATGCTTGAAGGCCATGCCCTGCAGAGAAACTCCTGTGACCTGACTTTACCTCTGTTCCTGTCTTGCTTCAGGCCCTGCTATCGTCCTTCTTCTGGGTTCCTCTGTAAGTGCCCTTCTAACACCCATGCCTTAACACACACCTACTCAGACATGCTACCAGTAGTTATGGTAACAAGAGAATCTTTTTTCTTTTCTTTTTTTTTTTTTTGTTTGCTTGACATTTTATTTTTTATTTTTGAGTAATCTCTACACCCCATGGGATTCGAACTTACAACCCTGAGATCAAGAGTTGCATGCTCCACCAACAGAGCCAGCCAGGTGCCCCCTCTTGATTTATTTAAATTGGAATTAACACATAGAACAAGAAAATCTTTATTCCTGACCAAGAGGGAAGCGGGATAAGAAAAGTCAGGCAATAACCCTGGTACACGTTGGAGGGCTTGTGATCTTGAATGTTCAGTCTGGATGTACTTTGCAGCTTTGCCTAGGCCTGACATGGCCAGAGGGACTGTGTGCTCCATGAGGGCTGCCTTGCTTACTGCTGCATCTCCTAGTTCGGTGCCTGCACAGAGCTGGTGATCGGTAAGTGCTGGTTGAATGAATGAATAGACCAGAAGCCAGGCAGATGAAGCTAGGTTTAGCATTTCCTGTTTTCTGTGTGTTACGTTTCTACATTCAAGGATTTCTTGATCCTCTGACTTCCAGTGGGTTTCAGCCAAATGGTGAGCCCTTGCCAGAAATCAGAGGGAAGTAGGCCAATGATGTAGGGCTCTCCTTCCCCCGATTCACAGCTACACTGTGTAAGGTGGCCTGCTCTATCCCATCCCTCTGCCTGCCAATTCTCTCACTCTGCAGGCTGAGGCATGGGAGTGACTCCCAACCCAGAGTGATCAGCCCCAGGTAATACCTGTCCTTTGTGGTTTCCCCACCAACCATTCTAAAAAACCCCTTTATTAAAAGCTACTCAAAGCATGCAATGTGAATATAGCATCTGTTTCCTGCTGAGACCCTCACCGACAGAGTTTCCAAAAATCCATTGTGTACATTTCGCTCTCTGGTTTTCTCTGTGTACCAGCACATTCTGTCCCACTCTGTCCGCGGGTACTCATTGCTTCACAGAGGAGGAGGCTTGCTCAAACTGGCCTAGTATACGGTGAGCATGGTGGAGTGGCAGAAGGGAACAAGGGAACATCCTGTGCCAACACCAGCAAATACATTCCATAAGTGCTAAGTGAGGAAGACCACTGGTCGCTACTTTGCCCACCACAAAGTCTCACCTTCTGCTGGGCAAGAAAGCTTTCCTTCTCAGATAAAACTAGTTTCTTTGGCTAAAAAAAAGCTTTATTTTTATTTACATTTTATGGCACAACTACAAAATAATAATCAAAGATTCTTTTGGGGAGAAGGCCACTGCTCCTCCCTGACCACACAGGTAATTTACCCAAATTAATGCAGCAGAAGTAAGGGGCAGCGGATGGGGGAATCCACTCTTCTTTGTCATTTTTGCCTTTTAAATTTGATAAGCCCTTGAAGAGAAAGAGTTAGTGAGCATACCAAGCTGCGCTCCTCTTTCAGCCATTAGTGCTGGGTTAAGGAGAGTAGGTGGAAGGGCTATTTTTATTTTTATGATAATTTATCTTCCCTGAACATACTAATGGGGAAAAGTGCATTTTAAATTTTCTAAAAAAGGAGACTAAAAGGGTCTCATGTGATCCAAGCTTTCTCTCACTTCTAGGAAAAATATCCTCCCTTGGCTCTTTGGTACGTATTATCTCGTCTACTTGGGATCTGGTTTTAAAGCAGGTTTCCTACCAGGGAGAGTCAACAGCAGTCTAAGAGAGAAAGGCTTGATTTCCTACCTAAGACTCAAATGGAAAAACATGGGATCTGTACATATTTGTTCTCTTTCTCCCCCGCTTACCCCTTTAAAGAGGGGTATACTGGTTTCTTTAGTTCCCTGTCTTTCGGCAACAGCCACTTGAAAGAAAGAATCATGTGGTGATTATTAATTTTGCATGGATCAACTCTGGCCTCAGCTTTCATTTGAGATGCAGTTACATGAAAAACAGACTGAGTTAATTTCATCCCCTCCAGGGTTGCTTGGCAACAAAGCCTAGTTCCAGATCATCTCTCCTCCTTGGCCCAGAGTGATCTCTTTGGGGTGTCGCTCATGCTAAGGCAATCATCACCTTGTTGCTATTGCTCCTGAATGTGTCCCTGTGGTCTTGATGGCACAGGGGGTTTGTGGCTTTGCTCCAGTCACACAGCCTGGGGTCGATGTAAGCCCTGAGCTTGTTAGCACAGAGAACATACTATGCTTGGGGAATTTGGGATTCAAACAATTGAGGTTAGACAGGAAAGAGAGGGAACATGAGCAATGTCTGAGATGACACTGGAGGGCAGGGGGCTGAAGTTCTTCTTCTTTTTTCTTTTAAAGCATTACTATGTTCTGATTTGGAAATCTTTCTAAGCTACATTGTTAAGTGATAAATGCAAAGTCCAGAAGAGTATGCATAGGATGCTGGTTTTGGGGGGGGCAGGAAGAAGGAGAAAAGTAGAGGTATGAAAATATTTTGTTTATGTTTGCATAAAGAAAAACACAGATGGTCCCCCGTAAGTGTTTGTGAGGTATGAGAGTAATGGGCTGGAAAGGGCAGAGGAGGTGGGCTCCGTCTACTGGCTAGATGGGATGCTGCCCAATTCATGATTCACTTAATAAAGTCAATTAGATCTTCAAAAAAAGAAAAAAGAAAAGGAAAGAAAGAAAGGGTAGATGATTTTCCATCTGTGTACCTCTTTGTACTATTTTTCTTTATAAACTAAAAGAATGTGTTGTCCAATCAAAAAGATTTAAAATAATCATTAAACAAGTGTTAGAACCCCAAAGCAAAGTGTTAATGTTCGGTAGAGTTGAGGAGGTTTGTTAAAGGTATATGGGAACTCTTTGAAATGTTTTCATTATTAGTAACCCCAACAAATGTTCTAGGCTTCCCTTCCTGTTTTAACACCATTCTTCCTATCTTTTATAAAGGAAGTCAGTAGCTACATTTTGAACATTTTGAATGACTTGGTAGGAGATAGGGTATCTCTAAGAATTCTGAGCTGCAGAGAAAAGCTGTCAGCTAGGAATATTAGCCTTAATCAGGGTGTGCATCCATCCCTGTCCCAAATGGCTTCAGCTGTGGTCCCTGAAGATCTGAGAAGACAGAAGTGACAACCTTGTCAGGGATTGGCCTAAGAATGGAATTCCCGTGGTAGAAGCATAGTTCTTCAATTCATACAAGCCCTCAATTGTACCTTTGTGAGGGTTTTCCTGGATATTCTTCAGTGTCTTCTCTCATCTCTGCAGCAAGCAGCATCTCCTCATCTTCCAGATCATTCTGTTGATAGTTTGCTCCACTAGACTAACCTCCTTGAGGATAGATACAATAGCCAAGTCATCGCCACACACAGTTCCCTTGGCAGAGCAGAAGTACATACTTTTTCTTAAAATTTTTATTTTGAAGTAATACTTGATTCACATGGAGTTGCAAAAAATATACAGAGCCATAAATGCCTGTTTAAAAAGAAGAAAAAAAATATTACATCAGCAACCTAACTTTGCACCTAAAATAACTAGAAAAAGAAGGGCAAATTAAATCCAAAGCAAGAGGAAGGAAAGAAAAAAAGATTAGAGGGGAAATAATGAAATATAGAATAGAAAAGCAGTTGAGAAAATCAGTAAAACCAAAACTTTGTTCTTGAAAAATCAATAAAATTGATAGACCTTTAGCTAGATTGATGAAGATAAAAGGAAAGAAGACTCAAATTACTAAAATCAATAATAAAAGAGAATGTTACTATCAACTTTACAAAAATAAAAAGGACTATAAGCAAAAACTAAGAACAATTGTATACCAACATTAGGTAACACAGATGCCATAGATAAATTCCTAGAAAGACAAAAGCTACTGAAATTGAGTCATTAAGAAATAAAAAATCAGGGCCACCTGGGTGGCTCAGTAGGTTGGGCAACCCCCTCTTTGTTTGGGCTCTGGTTATGATCTCTGGTCATGGGATCAAGCACTGGGTGGGGCTCTGTGCTCACCAGGGAATCTGCTTGGGATTCTTTCTCCCTCTTCCTCTGTCCCTTCTCCTGCTCGTGCTCAATCTCTTTCTCTCCCCCAAATAAACAATAAACTTTTTAAAAAAGGAAATAGAAAATCAAAACCACAATGAGATATCACTTCATACCCATTTGGATAGATATAATAAAAAAGAAAGACAATAACATGTTAGCGAGGATGTGGAGAAATCAGAATTCTCATACACTGATGGTGGATATGTAAAATGGGGCTGCATCTTGGAAAACAGTGTCAGTCCTTCAAAAAATTAAAGAGAGTTATCATTTGACCCAAAAAGTCCACTCATGGGTATATACTCAAGAAAACTGAAAACATATGCTCAAAAAACCCGTACATAAATGTGTATAGCGACATTATTCATAATAGCCAAAAAGCAGAAACCACCTAGGTGTCCATTAAGTAATGAATGAACAAAATGTGGTATATCTATATGATGAAATATTATTCAATCGCAGAAAGGAATGTAAAACTCATACATGCTACAGTGTGGATGAATCTCGAAAACATGCTGGTAAACAAGGCCAGATACAAAAGAACAAGCATTGTATTGATTCCATGTAAGTGAAGTTTCAAGAATAGGCAAATCCACAGAGACAGAAAGTAGCTTAGTAGTTTCTAGAAGATAAAGGAGGGGGAAATGGGGAGTGTCTACTGAGGATAGCGTTTCTTTTGTGGTGATGAAAGTGTTCTAGAATTAGTGGTTATTGTTACATATATGTGACCAATATACTAAATTGGACAATGAATATACCAAAGTCCATTGAATTGTTCATTTCAAAAGGGTGAATTTTGTGGTATATAAATTATATGTCAATTTAAAACAGAATGAATAAAAGCAGGAGCTAATGCCTTTAAATATTTGATAGGAGATTCCATTTACCTTCACCCAGTGCTGTATTACCGTATGTCATATCACAACCAAGAAAATGACATTAGTACAATGCAAAAAGCTTATTTAGAATTCATCAGTTGTACATGCCCTTGTGTGTGTGTGTGTGTGTGTGTGTGTGCATGTAGTTCTATGCAATTTTCTCATGTGGAGATTCATGCAACTAAAACCACAATTAAGATACAAACCTATTTCACTATCACATGTGTTCTTCCTGCTACCTCTTTTACTCATGCCCTCCCTCTCCTCCATCCCTAGCCCCTGCCAACCACTGATCTGTTTCCTATCTCAATAATTTTGTTATTCCAAATTTAATATAAATTGCTACATAATACATAAATGTAACCTTTTGAGTTGTCTTTTTTCACTCAGCGTTCAGCGTAATCCCTTAGGATCTAAGGGATCTGTTACATGTATCCACAATTCATTCTCAATTTTTCATTTTTCTTTGGTAGTACAGCATTTTATTTATTCTTTCTGTTAATAACTAATATTTAAGAACATTTTCAATATTAGCAGAACTTAATCACCTGGGTGGCTCAATGGGTTATGCCTCTGCCTTCAGCTCAGGTCATGATCCCAGGGTTCTGTGATCAAGCCCCGCACGGGACTCTGTGCTTGGCAAGGAGCCTGCTTCCCTTCCTCTCTCTCTGCCTGCCTCTCTGCCTACTTGTGATCTCTGTCTGTCAAATAAATAACTAAAATCTTTAATAAAAAAGAGAGAGAGAGAAGTTCGACTTACTTTTTTTTTTAACATCTTGATACTGGGTATTAATAAAAGATAGTCAAAATAATTATGGTCAAAATCATTATAGCAAAGATCACAAATAAATACCGGGTGTCAGTATGTCTGCATACAATTCAGTCTTTGGTGTAAAGGTCTTTGGCTGCAAAAAAGAATATTTGTTTTATGTCACTAACAGCGATCTCTCTTAATGCTGAGATAGCCTCTTGGTATTTCTTCTGCTGTTGGTTTTTAGCATAGTTATCTGTGCCTATAGGAATGGAGTTGACTAAAGAGGTACTCATCATGTAAACTCCAAATTAAAGTACATAGCTGATTACTGTAGGAGGTAAACAGGCAATGCAAGTGTTCAGTATTTCTGAGGCCAAAAGGTTAAGCCTAAGGAGTCTAGTCAAGATTCAGGAATAATAGTCCATACAAGATATAGTATAAAGCCAAACGGGGAGCTCAAGAGTAAAGCCATAAATCACTCTTTCTGGCAGTGATGATAGTGAATTTTCCACCATTTTCCTCATGGGTTTAGACAATCAGACAGTCTCAGCACTAAGTCCTCTGTTCGAACACTGCAGAGGGTAGGGGTAAAGAGAGAAAACTGAAAGGCCAAAGTGTGAAGGCACCTCTAGCCCCGGCACAGTTGTACCAGAACTCTCCCTGGGAGTGGTAGAGGGGACACGTCTATTTCCCTTATTTTAAAATAAATTTTTATTTTCAGAACAGTCTTAGATGTACAGACTTATTATTTATATAGTACAGAGAGTTCATATATATACCACACCCAGTTTCCCCTACCATTGGCATCTCTCATTAGTACATTAGTATGGTACTATTACTGCGCCAATCTGGATACATTCTTAGTAACCTAAATTTGCATTTTAGATTTCCTCAGGTTTCCCCTAATGCCATTTTTCTGTATCAGGATCCTATCTAGGATACTATATGATGTTTGCAGTTATGTCCCCTTAGGCTCCTTTTGGCTGGGACTATTACTCAGACTTACCCTGTTTTTGACAACACTTGAGAGTTTTAAGGACTTCTGGTGAGATATTTTGTAGAAGGTCCTCCAACTGTGATTTATCTGATGTTCCCTCATGATTAGACTGGGGAAATGTGTTTTGGGGAGGAAGACACAGACAAGAGGCACCATAATCATCACATCTTATCAAGGGGACATACTATCAACATGACTTCTCACTACTGACATTACTTACCCTTGATCAGCTGAGTGGGATAGAGTTGTCAGAAGTCTCTACTATAAACTTTCTCTCTTTTTTCTTTCCATACTATATTCTTTGGAAGAAAGTCACCATACACAGCCCACATTTAAGGAATGAGGAATTATATTTCTCACCCTTAAGGGTAGAACATCTACATCAATTATTTGCAGTTCTGCATGGGAGATATATCTAATATCCTCACTGTATGTATTTACTTAATCACTTACTTCTATCTGTATGGAGTCATGAATGTTTATTTTATACTTAGGGTTACAATACAATACTATTTTATTCACTGTGTTTTTCACATTGTTCCAGTTTTGGCCATTATGAGCTCATCCAGTTGGCCCCTATGTCCCCATATGACCATCACTATGAGGTTAGTTTTGGGTTTTTTTTTTTTTTTTTTTTTTTTTAGCACTCTACTACTTTCTGGCACTACAAGATGCTCTAGGATCAAACTGCAAATTTCCTGTCCCATTCCTAGAATCAGACTTTTCTCCAAGGAGGGGCGGAGGGAGGAAGAAAAGAAGGAAGAAAGAAAGAATACAGAGAGGGGTGCCTGGGTCGCTTAGTTGGTTAGGCATCTGTCTTTACCTTGCCTTTGGTTATGGTCTCGGGGTCCTGGGATCAAGCCCCATGTCTGGCTCCCTGCTCCCTGTACTGCTCCCCTGCTTGTGCTTTTTTGCTATGTCTCTGTCAAATAAATAAATGAAATCTAGGGAGAAAGAAAGAAAGAAAGAAAAAAGGGGAGGAAGGAAGGAGGGAAGGGAAGAGGGAGGGAGGGAAGGAAGGAAGGAAGAAGGAAAGAGGGAAAGAAGGAAGGAAGGAGAAAGAAGGAATTCAGAGAAATCCATGTATTGTTTACCAGTTTACCCCAGTGCTAACAGCTTGCAAAACAATATTAAACCAGAATATTGACATTAATACATCCACCAATCTTACTCAGATTTCTTTAACTTTTTACTCATTTGAATGTTTATACAGTTTAATCTCATGAATAGGTTTATACATCCACCACTACGTCAAGATACAAAAGAGTTAAAGAACCACAAGGATCTCTTTTGCTTCCTTTTACAGTTATACCCATTTCCATCCATCACCTCTTCCCTACATGCCTAATCACTGGCAAATACTAATCTGTTCTACATTTTTAAAACTTAGTTATTTTAAGAATATTATATAAATTGAATCATTCAGTATGTATCTTTTTGGATAGGCTTTTATTTGGACTCGATATCATTTCCTTGAGATCCATTAAGTTGTTCTGTGTATCAGTAGTCGGTTACTTTTCTATTGTTCCATAGTATTCCACGATGTAGAAGTACTCAAGTTTGTTTAACCATTTCATCTGGTTGAAGGACATTTGGGTTGTTTTTGCTTTTTGGCTTTTATGAATAAAACTGCTATAAACAACTCATGTACAAGTTTTTGTGTGAGTACAGGTTTTTAATTACTCTAGGATAAATATTCAAGGAGTGTAATTGCTAGGTCATATGGTAAGGGTATGTTTAGGTTTGTAAGAAACTGCCAAACTGGTCTCCAGAATGGCTGTGTCATTTTACATTCTCACCAGTGATTTAT